GATACTGGTTTCAATTTGTATAAATTAAATGCATTTTATTATTTTTCCAAAATCTCCTCTACTTATTAATTTTTAGCTGTTTATTCTATCAGTTACTAGGGGGAGAAAAAATGTGCTAAATATCCCACTATGAGTCGTTAGTTTTTACAAACCTTTCAATGTCCCCATGAAAACCTACAGAGAAACTTGGTTAATAAAACCAACAAACTATGGACAACATACCAGGAAGCCAATTATGAGCTAACCCTGCATAGTCTGCACAAACCTCCGAGGACGAGCAGTGGACACAAGCCCCCAACAGCTCCAAGACCTGTGCAGCAGCAACCTCTGTGCAGGAGGAAGCCGAGGGGAGCAACAGAGCAGACCTTACCAACGTGTATTCATCTGCAGTCAGAGTAACAAATCGGAAAGCAGCTGAAACTGGCAGGATTTGAGCACCCTCGGGAGTGAGTACAAGCTGTCTGCCATCAGATCTGAAGGGGATAGAAGAGTCTGGGCCCTACTATCCCTCAACACTAACCAATCTTTTTTTAAAATATATATATAATATATTTTATTGATTTTTTTACAGAGAGGAAAGAAGAGAGATAGAGAGAAACATTGATGAAAGAGAGTCATCGATCAGCTGCCTCTTGCACACCCTCTACTGGGGTTGTGCCCACAACAAAGGTACATGCCCTTGACCGGAATAGAACTCGGGACCCTTCAGTCTGCAGACTGACACTCTATCCACTGAGCCAAACCGGTTTTGGCAATACTAACCAATCTTAAGGACACAGAGGTATGTGTGAGGGAGAGCCCATCTGAATGAGCTGCCAATGACCCAAGCTGAAACAATGTGAGTGCCAGAATGAGTAACATCATCTAGTTTATAACCCCAAATACAAAACAAATATACAGTATATGTCCCTGATGATACCAGCCACCTCCTTGATTTTGGTATTCTTGGATATGCTTTAAGGACAGCGAGTACAACAAATGCGATGTAAAAGAGGGAAGACTTCCTGTTGGAAATGGTGTCAAACAAAGGTACCTCCAGACAATCTTTCTACAAGGTTGGTGATTGTTTCTGTAAAGAGGTTGGAGCACCCTTCTGTGAACTCTCCTGTCCATAGGGAGGGCCCTTAGTCACTCACTGAGGCACAGAGCTGAGCTTGTGATTTTGATGCCCCTCATACTTTAGGTAGCTAGAAATAAATAATTTAATGTTTTTAACCTTTATTATTGCAATATTATATATGTCCCATTGATCTCTCCCAGCTCGCCCAGGTTCCCCACCCCAGGCCTTCACCACCCTATTGTCTGTGTCCATGGGTTATGCACATATGTGCATACAAGTTCCTTGTTGGATCTCTGCCCACCTATCCCATCCTTCCCTTCCTGCTGAGGTTTGACAATCTGTTCCGTGCTTCTCTGTCTTTGGATCCATTTTTGTTCATCAATTTGTTGTTCATCAGATTCCAATATGAATTTGATCATGTGGTGCTTATCTTTCTCTGGCTTATTTCACTTAGCATAATGCTCTCCAGGTCCATCTATGCTGTTGCAAATGGTAAGAGTTCTTCCTTAATTCTTAATTAGGCCTTTGTTCATGTGTTCATTCGCTCTTCCTGCTCAACTTTCGGTCTCACAAATGCAGTCCCAGGTTGCTGATGTGGTGTCTCTTTGTCCAGCAGGAGATAACTTCAGGGTCACAGGAAAATTTATGAGTTTGGGAGAAGGAAGGAATGTATTCAAGGTAGCTGCAGCCAACTGCTGACACCCAAGAGTCTGATAGGAAAAAGTGTTATCTGTGACTAAAGAAACACAGACTTCTCTCTGGATCTCCTCCTCCCCTACTCCCTAATTGCATAAAAACTCTCTATTTTGCTTTTTTTGAGAGAGGGGGATTGAGAATCTTGCTCCTCATCCTCTCAGTTTGATTAAATAAATAAACCTTTCTGTATCTTCAAGCACCAGTCTCAATATTCTGGCTTTGCCTGCACAAGAGGTTTTTATTTTTCCCTGACTGGAACTGGTAGCCAGTATCCTAAATGATGAAAAAAGAACTGGAATTGGATTCAGTACCATGAAGATAATTACTTTTATACCTTAAAAATATATTTTAAGAAAGTATACTGGAAATGAAATCAGAACCATGGCAATATTAGTATCAAATTTTTTTTTGTATAAATTGTATTAACCTCAGTATTGAAAAACAACTCATTCCAATGCCATTCATTATTTTTAAATTTGTGAGAATCATAGATGCATGTTTTATTTCTTTATTTTTTTATCCTAGGGGCCTTGAAATTAAGCTGAATAAAAATAGCTTTTTGCACATAGTTTCTTTCTACAGTAAAAAAAAAATAGTAATAGGGGCTGAAATAGAATATTGGGGACTAGCTATAATTATAAAAATATTAATCATGCTCTGTTAACCATGATTGTTCTTATTAGAGAAAGCACATTCTAACCTGGCTGAGAGTCCTTGACTCTGGGACATGGGAGTTAACATCGGAATGCAGTCCATCCTCCTTCCCCAAGAACTGCCTACCATTGTGGAAAGATTAAAGATTTGCAGCCCCGTGCCTAAAACGATCTAGTTCAGAGGGCCTCGCTTACCCTTTGCAACCCCAGCCACTACTGCCTGCAATCTGGTTCCAGAGGTGGTGCCTGGTGGCACCTGCCCTCCTTGACACTCTCCCACCCCTGTGGCCTGTAACCTGTAACCATTAGGCCTTGTCTACTTTCCCATGCCTGTAATTCTTACTCTCCCACGTAATGTTTGCCTCTTACCCAATATAAGCAGCTGGCTTGTGGAGAGAGGCAGAGCAGATTTTTGTGGGTGACCTGCAGCTCTCCATACTGCCTGCATTATTGGAATAAACACTCATATATGATTTAACCCTGTCTCAGCTTAATTGGCTCAAGTAGTAACAGGCAGCTCAGACGCCTTGGTTGTCTGGTTACAGTAGCACAGTGTTTTGCTAGTAGGGTCTGTTGAAATTGTCATTTTTAATTGCCTTCTGAAAAAGGTATGATGTAATGTCTAGTCTTAACTGAACAAATTATACACTGAGTATAATTTGGCCAGATTATTATGATTTCTGGATGCATATTCTATATATTTTATAGTGGCCAGATTATTCTATCTCTAGATATATATTCTATATATTTTAGAGGCCAAATGCATGAATGTACGCATGGGTGGGTTCTGGCCAGTCTGTAAAAGGGGAGGGGACATAGCTGGTTGGCTGGCCTGCCTGCTGGTCCAACTCCTGGTGGAGGGAACAATTTGCATATTAACCTTTTATTATATACGATAGACACTGAGTGGCCAGATTATTATGCATTCAAAGATCATAATAACCTTGCCATTTAGTGTATAGACAACTGGCTTGTAGATTTTCACCCCCTTCACCCATTACAGGTACACACACACATGCACATTTCTTGCCACATTTTTATTTTTAACTTCACTTGATTCAACTGATTATGCTTAATACCCAAGATTCATACAACTTTACTACACATTTTCTCATCAATAAGTCTTCAGTTTTAACATATGATTGTACTCAACAAAAGGCTTGTGAAGTGATTTATTTTTTGAGTATTTCTAGATAATATATTTAGGATGTTTGTAGGAAAGTTTTTCACTACATATTCAGATGAACTACATTGTCAAATGCATATGTAGATTTGATTGAATTATAATGTAGATCTGTTGCTTTTTAAAAAACAACAACACTGAAAATTTAAAAAAGGCCTTCCCAAAATATCTAAATCTTAATCTCTGTGAATGTTACCTTATATAGGAATAGAAAGGGAATATCTGCAAATGTAAATTGGAGACGGCCCAAGTGTCCATCAGCAGATGAGTGGATAAAAAAAGCTGTGTTACATTTTCACAATTGAATAGTAAAGGATTGTAAAAAAGAAAAGAAAAAAAGAAACTTACCATTTGCAACAGCATGAATGGACCTGGAGAGTGTTATGCTAAGTGAAATAAGCCAGTCAGAGAAATATAAGTATCACATGATCTCACTCATTTGTGGAATCTATGAACAAAATAAACTGAGGAACAAACTAGACTGAGAGACATAGATGGATGGAACAGATTCATGGATTTCAGAGGGAAGCAGGAGAGGGGAGATAGGTGGGAGGAGATCAACCGGGAATTTATATGGATATATTTATAGCCCATGGACACAGACAATAATGTGGTGAAGGTCTGGGAGGGGCGGGTGCAGGGTGGAGGGGGCCAATGGGGAAAAAATAATCAAAGGGGACATCTGTAATATTCTCAATAATAAAGATAAAATTTTAAAAAGAATCTTAAAATGGGAAAATTGTTCTGAATTATTTGGATAGAATCTGAATGCAAACACATGTATCCTACTCAGAGGAGGTGTGAGAGAAGGCCTTGTGAAGATGCAGCAGCGAGATTTGTAGGTGCCAGCCTCTGAGATTAAGGTGATTTGGCTACAGCAAGGCGTACTGCTGGCCACCAGATGAAAGAAGCAGGGGCTCAGCCGTGTGGATGTGTCTCTCACCAGTACCTTTGCTTTGGCCCAATGATACTAATATTGGACTTCAGGCCCAGGAACTCTAGAGAATACATTTCTGTTATTTTAACCCACACACTTTGTAGTACTTTGTTGTAACAGACACAAGAAACTAATACAATTTCCTTATGATGTTTTCTTTGTTTTTTTTTCTCTTCCCACTTATGTAATTTCTGTACCTGTCTAGATACTGTCTTCTCTTACTTTCCAATATTATCTTATTTCTAAACTTTAATAAGCACTGGTCTCTATCAGGATCAACATAATCCTAATAACCATAAGTAATGAGAAAAAAGTGGATCGCATGCAGGTTTTGTGAGTGAAAAATATTACTAGTTCAAGGATATGCAGTAATCATTATAACTGATTCAAGGCATTGTTCTTTGTACTACAACTACAAAAATCACAAAATACAATCAACTAAGTAATGCCATGTATATATTTGATATACACTTATAAATTCTTGTCCAGCCAACTAATGTACAAGTCGCTTATCCTGAGACCTAGATGTAAATACAGGGGTGATGTCATATATGATAGAGCTCCATGGATTCCATCCTCAATATGTTCATGAGCAACTTGAACTCCAGCATTTTGAAGTCTTGAAACATACATAAGTCCATCATCTCTCAGGATATCATATTGACAGGTAATAACATAGGTTGATGGCAAATTCTGTAACTGGGAATCATTGGCCAACAAGGGTGACATTCTGATGTCCATAAGAGATGGCAATGAATAACTAGTTCTTCCAAGAATTGGTTCAGTATAAACATAGTCCTTTCTATGCTTCTTGGGTAAGAGAGTACTCCAGTTAACAAACTTGAACAAATGTCTTGATTCCAGAGGCATATGTTGGTTTCTTTTTAGTGCCTGAGGAAATGTTTTATCCTCGGTGATGTATAAGCTCAGGAACTTTATGGCTACGTCCCTTGTCAGAGCCACACCATGCTCATTTTCTCTGTGAGACGGCGTATTAGAATCAATTATCTGTAAGTGAGGGTAAAGTAAAGCTTGTACCTTGATTTTATGTTTTATTTCAAGATCATTCTGCACCTGGAAAAAAAAATACCTTGTAAGGCAAAGACTTCCAAAACACCAGGAAGAGGACATTTAATGTTATTGGTTTAAGCAATCCTGAGCTATAAACAAATCTACATAAATGGATGTGATGTTATAATTATTTTCGTAATATTTATAATGTGAGTGACATGAAAAAATGTCAAGCTCATTTTAACAGTAAAGTTTTTAAAACTGTTTTGTGTGTGTGTGTGAGAGAGAGAGAGAAAGAGAAAAAGAAAGAGATACAAACTACTAGTTATAAATTACATAAGTTCTAGGGAATATAATATACAGTATGGTGACTATCTATAATAATAAAAGCATAATATGCTAATTAGACTGGATGTCCTTCTGGATATCCTTCAAGCAACCTTCCTGACCAAGCCAGGGCTGCGAGGGAAGCCCAGGTCCCAGGTGCCTGCCAGCAGCAGGAAGGAAGCTTGGGTCCCGGGTGCCAGAGGGAAGCGAGTGCCAGCAGTTGGAGGAAGGAAGGCTTACTCTTGCAGAAATGTCATGCATTGGGCTTCTAGTACTTAATAATGCTATATTGTATATTTGAAGTTGCTAAGATAGTAGATCTTAGAATTTCTCATCACATGAAGAATTATGTAACTACGTGAGGTGATAGATTTATTGTGGTGATCATTCTATAATATATACATATATGGAATCATTATGTTTTATAAAGCATATTGCAAAATTTTGGCCCTAAGGTGCTATATCAAAGAGTAATTTGAAAGACTGAGAGAAGCAACCACAGTGATCTCCTCAATCTGAGGTAATGATAGAAATATCAGCAACCTGGCTTCATAACCATAATAATATCACAATCTAGAGCTAGATTTGCTCTAGCAAATTTGATGCCTTATCAATAATTGAGTTAGTGCACAAAATGAGTTCTATAGAGTAGGCAATGGGGGAAAGAGAAGAGAGAGAATGATAGAATAATGTTTTTGTCAAAAACCACCAATGGGGAAAAACTAAATACTATGTTCTTGAGGAAATTGAGGGCATATATAGCCTTGTCAAAATTATTGTCTAAAAACAAAAAACAAACAAACAAACAAACACCCAACTTCCAGTCAAGATGACAGAGTAGGTAAACTCTGAGATTGCCTCCTGCCAAGATCACATCAAAATCACAGCTACATTATGGAACAACCATCACTGAGAACCACCTGAAGACTAGCTGAACAGGATTCCTATAAATAATGATATAGAAGAAAAAGTCATAACTGAGACAGGTAAGAGGGGTGGAGATGCAGACAGGGCAGGTTCCATACCTGGAATTATTGAATAAGAAACAGGAGGGATGTATCAGGCCCAACTCCAATCTGGGCTCCTAAGATCAGTGCTGGGAAGAGGAGTCCCCATGACATCTGTCTCTGAAAACCAGTGGGGTCTGTATCCCAGACAGACAAATGTCTCTGGGGGACCAGGACATGCTGCTCTTCAAGGGGCAGAACAAAATCTCATTCAATCTAAATTCCAGCACAGAGGCAGCAGCTCAAAAAAGTGCCAGGAACATCTGGGGAATAACTAAGTTGACTAACTTGTGGATGAGGGCTGCCATTCTCACCAGGGACAGAATCATTGGCTGGCACCATTGTTCCTTTGCTGAGCTCTCCTCCCAGAAGCTGGCCCAGGGCAGGAAGGTACCAAATTCATACTCTCCATTAACCTAGCAAACATAGTTCACCCCACCCTGGTGATTCCCTGAGACCCCACCCAACTCAATTCCCTTGCCTGGTTTGAGCTTCTTGCAGAAGTGCCTCCATAGGAGTGGCCTGCCTTGGCTCATGCTGCAGACACACTCAAAGGACTACAAATTCCACATGAGTCATGGAACCCTTAGGCTTGTGCTGCAGACTTTTTCAAAAGGTCACAAAGTCCATGCAAGTGGTTGTTCTTGGCTCATGCTACAGACTATCTCAAAGGTCCAAAAGCCCCACACAAACAACAACAGTCCTTGGCTTAAATTGTATCTCCGGCCAAGTGGCCTCAAGGTGAACATATGTGATAACGAGTCTTAATTTGCACTGTCACTGCCATCGGGTGGCCTCAAACTGGACTTAAGTGGCAACCAGTCTTAGCCTGCAGCATAGTTCCAACTAAGCAGCCACAGTCCCAGCACTAATGACGACTAGCCTCAGTTTGCATCATTGCACCCACTAAAGGTCTCAAATCCAGAACAAGTGGCAGCTGGTCTCAGTTTGTAGCGTAGCCTTTCCCAAGCTCATCCAAGTCCAGCACAAGTGGCAACCAATCAATCACTTTGTGGCTCCTACCAAGCACCCCCAAACCATGAACAAGCAGTGACTGATGTAATATGCTAATTAGACTGGACGTCCTTGTAGACGACCTTCCAGACGAAGCTATAGCTGCAAGGGAAGCCAGGGTCCTAGGTGCCTCCTAGTGGCCAGAGGGAAGCCCAGATCTCCTGTGCTAGAGAGAAGCCTTCTCTTGCACAGATTTCATGTGTTGTGCCTCTAGTTATAAAATAACTGAAATCAATAAAACATCAGAGGGAATCAACAGCAATAGATGAAATGGAAAATTGAATCAGTAATATGGAAGACAAGGTAGTGAAAAACTCCCAACTGGAACAACAACAACAACAAAGAATAAAAAAAGGAGGTTAGTTTAAGGGACCACTATCAAGTATATCAAGTATACCAATAATTGCATCAAAAAGATCCCAGGAGAGGAGAGAGAACAAAGAGTTAAAAAAAATACTCCTTGAGCCAAAACCAGTTTGGCTCAGTGGATAGAGCTTCTGCCTGTGGATTGAAGGGTCCTGAGTTCGATTCTGGTCAAGGACATGTAGGTTGGTTGTGAGCATATCCCCATTAGAGGGTGTGCAAGAGGCAGCTGATCAATGACTCTCTCTCATCGACGTTTCTAACTCTTTATCTCTCTTCCTTTCTCTCTGTAAAAAAATCAATAAAATATATATTTTTTAAAAAATACTACTTGAAGAAATAATGACTGAACATTTTCCTAACTTAGCAAAGGAAATAGGCATACAAGTCCAAGAAGGGCAGAGAGTTCCAGATAAGATAAACACAAAGAAGTCCACAGCAGGGCATATTATAATTACAATATCAAAGGTTAAAGACAAAAGAGAATTTTAAATGTAGCAAGAGGAAAGTGGTTATGTAAGATGGAGATCCCACAGACTGTCAGCTGATTTCTCAATAGAAATGTTGTAGAAGAGAAGGGATTAGCATGAAATATTGAAAGTGATGAAAAGCAAAGACATAGTGTTCACTTTGGCAGCACATATGCTAAAATTGGAAGAGGAAAGACTTACAATCAAGATTTCTCTTCATTAGAACTGAAGGAGAGAAAAGGAGTTTTCCAGACAAAGGAAAGCTAAAGAAGTTCATCAACACTAACCCAGTACTGTAATAAATGATAAAGGAATTTCTTTAAGTGGAAAAGAAAAGATCAAAGATATAAATACAAAAATATAAAAAGAAAAAAATCTGACTGACAAAAGGCAAACATTTTTCAAAAACAATGAATCAACAAATTATGAAGCTAGTATAAAAACTAAATGTACAAAGCAAATATAGATGGACATAAAGCAAGAGATACAGAGTAACATGGTAATAATAGGGCTTTAAATACCTCATTGAAATCAATGAATAGATAATTCAGACAAAATCAATAAGCAAACCATGTCCTTAAACAACAAATTAGAGCATATGAACTTAATAAATATTTTTAGAACGTTTTACCTCAAAGAAGAGGAATACACATTTTTTTTTCAAGGGCACATGGACTGTACTCCAGGATAGGGCATATGTCAAGACACATAATAAGTCTCAATAAATTTAAGAAGACTGAAATCATATAAAATATCTTCTTCAATCACAATGGTATGAGTTAAGTAAAAAAATAAATAAATCACAAAGCCCTTTAACGATCTGACCTTGACAATCTCTCTAAATTCATCATTTACTATATTTTACTCTGATGTAACATTTATGGACTTCTTTGTTTTCCCACCAAGGACCAAAGAAAGAAACAGAGAGAGGACAAAATAAATCCACCCACACTCTTCTCAGGCAAATAACCAAACCAACCTAATTCCAAAGATAAATAATTGTTGCTCTTTCCAATGGTGTACATTTCCCCCCACAAAGACACATTGAAGATAACTTGTGAAATCATGCTATGTTGGAAAGGGGATAGGTTAAAGAAAGTAACTAATCAGTTCAGGTAAAACAAGTTGAAGAGAGGTGGAGGTCAAACCCCAGCAATCCTGAGAGGTGGAGAAAAAAAGATAGGAGGTATTCAGGTATGATGTCAGGGTTTGGAAATACAGAAAGTAGAACACACACACACACACACACACACACACACACACACACACACTCCTAGATTTCCAAACATTTAAGATTCTAGTTGGGGAATTTCACATGCAAGAAATAAAAGGATAAACACTATACTCTGTGTATAATCTGCTACAGGCAATATAGAGGTAACAGAAGAGCTTTGTCTGGAGGAGTTTCTAGAGCTTATGGAACATCTGGGTGGAAACATCTACTCTGGTGTATGAGTTTTAAACATCTACTCTGGTGTATGAGTTTTAAACATCTACTCTGGGGTATGAGTTTTAAACTCAGTGGAATATGTGGATTAGAGAGCCTTCAGCAGATAAATCAGAGCTGAGCCATAGAACATAGAAGGAGAGTGGGAGAGAAGAAAGAATGACCAAAGAGTTGAACCCTGGGAAATACCAGGGAGTGTAAAAAGGAGTTTTGTCTCACATAAAACTAAATGGAAGGGCACTGGCCAGTGTGACTCAGTTGGTTATACTTCATCTCATGCGCTGAGAGGCTAAGGAACGTGCCTGGGTTGTGGGGTTCATCCCTAATGGGGGAATGCAGGAGGCAGCTAATCAATGTTATATTCTCACATCGATGTTTCTCTCTTCTTCCTTTCTCTCTAAAAATCAATAAATTATTTTTGTAAAAAAAATTGAATAGAAGAGAACGTAGAAGAGAACACAGAAAGTGCCATTATCAATAGCATGGCAAGAATTTAAAATAAAAAATAGTTATATAAAAACAACAAAAGGAAGATAGTCAACCCAATAAAAAAAAAATGGGCAATGGACTACATAGATACTTTTTGAAAAAGACATAAGGAAGGCCAAGAGACATATGAAAACATGCTCAAAGTCACTAATCATCCAAGAGATGCAAATCAAAACAACAATGAGGTGCCATGTCACACCTTTCAAAATATCTATTATCAACAAATCAACAAATGACAAGTGCTTCTGAGGATGTGGAGAAAAGGGAACATTCATTCACTGCTGGTGTGAATGCAGACTGGTGCAGCCACTTTGGAGAACAGTATGGAGTTTCCTCAAAAAACTAAAAATGGAACTCCCATTTGACCGAGTGATCCCATTTCTAGGACTATATCCCAAGAAACCAGAAACACCAATCAGAAATGATATTTGCACTGCTATGTTCATAGAAGCACAATTTACAATAGTTAATATTTGGAAACAGCCTAAATGCCCATCAGCAGATGAGTGGGTTAAAAACCTGTGGTACATCTACACAATGGAATATTATGCTGCTGTAAAAAGGAAGGAATTCCTACCATTTGCAACAGCATGGATGGTCCTGGAGAGCATTGTCATAAGCGAAATAAGCCAGTCAGAGAAAGATAAATATCACATGTTCTCACCCATTTATGGAATATAATTAAATACATAAACTGATTAATAAAAACAGATCTAGAGACAGAGAAGCATCAATCAGATGTTCAAATCTCAGAGGGAAGGTAGTGGAGGGTTCTGGTAAGGGGGGAAGATCAACCAAAGAACTTGTTTGCATGCATATAAGCATAACCGATGGACACAGACACCACGGGGGTTGATGGGGGGTGGAGGTGGGGGCAATGGGGGATGTGCCACAACCAATGTACATGCCTTTGACCGGAATCGAACCTGGGACCTTTCAGCCTGCAGGCCGATGTTCTATCCACTGAGCTCAAACTGGTTTCGGCTCACTGAGTTTTTAATGCAGCATTCTCAGTTGTAACAATCTCTTTGAACAGATAGACCAAAATTTTAAATATCTACTCTTTTTTTTTGTATAATTCAAAGAATAGAATAATATCAAATTTCTTTTACTTCAAGATGACCTCACTGCTGACAAGGCATGGAGGAAGTAGACTAAGCTCACCTGGAGAACACCTGCACACGTGTTCAGTTCTTTCCCTTCATTCCCTTGGATAATGTATTTTCAAGGACTTTTCCTTTATTTTTGTTAAAATATTTAAAAAATATGTATGGCATGGCAACTACTTAAAGGGAAGACCTGGTTATTTTCCCCCTCTTTGTATATGAGACTATGATATTCAGTCACCGAAGCCCGGCTCCTTTTTCTTTCCTAGTTCCATGTTGGCCTGTTTTAACAGAATGGGGTTATCTTTGTTGTAAGATACGTGTAGCCTAACGTTCGTTAACTTCGTGGTCGGAAGTGTTTATCTCTCAAGCAGATTCCTAAGTAGACCAAATCTTTGTTGCTAAAGTGTTCTGAGATTCGTGGTTAAAACAACCTTCATCCTCAAAGATCTACTTTTTGAGCTTGACCCCTGTAGTTATCAAATGCATGTATGACCTCTAGAAATTAGTATGCTAAGCTGACCAACACAATGGTAGTAACTGTCCATAGGGTTTATCTCCCAAGAAAAGGTTTGTGTAGCATAGCAGAAACATAAGTTACCTAGGTATGTTGTAAAGCCCTTTGACAGTAACTGAGAGCAAGTTTTGTGAATACAAGTGCAGTGCTCATCATATTCTGCTTTAAAAAGTTATGGCAAATACAGACAGAAAGGAAAAAAGAAAAGACAAAGAAAACAATTTGTACTGCCCTACAAATTTTATTTGTGAATTGCATTTATTTTGGGTGGCTATATTAATATTGAAGATTGCCCAGTAGGTCTTCATTTCTTCATGAACATCTATGGCTACACCTACTCATCATTTCGAAAGCTTTCTTTACTTCCAAAGCCAACCCATCATTACATTGTACATGTAGAAATTATAGGTGTGGCAAGGTGTTACGTGATCAATCATCGTCGGATAATTGTTGGAGACTTTTCAGAATCTCTACATCCACAAAACCAGTTTTAGATAAGAATCAAGATCAGCTTGCTATATGACTTGGCATTGCAGCTAGCATAATAATCTGAAAATGTTTCCAAGTTTCTTTCCTTAATTAAGTTCTCACCCTTGGCCAGCAAGATCCTTCAAATAAGTGATGTATTATTATTTCAAATACACGTCAGGTTAGTTCAGGGTGAAAGAGACCTCAGCAATCAACACGTCTAATGGTTTGCTAACTTCCTTTTTTTCCCTAAAAAAAATTATGTAGTACTCTAACCACAAAAGGCATTGAAGTGGAGCATCTTGGGTTATAAGGAGGCCCACGGTGCAGAGCCAAAGGTTAAATTTTGCTACTGCGGATCTAATTGCTCCACAATAGAGCTTTATATGTGTATATGGTGTTGCAGATCAGTACATACATAAGGCATAATAAGTATGTGTGCATATGTGTGTATATATATTCACATGTGTATAGTATATACATAAAATATAAATGTATATGTCGCTCTGTTTGTATCTTCAATCTTTTAAGTGCTCCAAGCATGAATAATTTATTTTAATATTTAAGAGAAAAGAAATTAAGAAAAAAGGTATCGGAATGCTTCCCAAATGATTTAATGAAGCCAGTATAAACCTTAGGTCAATATCTGACAAAGACATTTTTTAAAAATAGAAAGCAATCCCTCCAAAAGCTCTACATCTCTAATTTTAGCAAATGGAAACTAGCCATATATAAAATTTTTATTTATCATGACCAAAGGGGGCTCATGCCTGAATGCAAGCATAATGTAATGTCTGAAAGTCAATTGACATAACTTATCACATTGAAAAAAATTAAAGGTGAGGAATCATATGTTCATCTGAAATAGATGCATTCAAAGCAGTCAGCAAATTCCATATCCACTTATGAAAAAAAAAACTATCAGTAAAAAGGAATAGAAGGAATTCCTCAATCTGACAAAAGCCAACTATGGAAAACCTTCAGTTAACATCATATTTATTGGTGAAATATTACATGATTTCCTCCAAAGTTTCAGAGGAAGGAAATTAATATTGCACTGTACAGCCAGTGCACTGATTAAGAAAATAAAATAAAAGCATAAAAATTACAAAGGAAGAATTAAAACTCCCTATAGTTGCAGAATATATGATTGTACAGAAATCATAGAAGATGTAAAAAAAATCTACTAGAATGTATAAGTAAAATTTTTAAGAATATAATTCTAAGTTTACTTTAAAAATCAAATGCATTTTATGTACTATCAATAAACATTTGGAAATGATATTTTAAATGAAACTTTCCAAAGTAACTCAAGAATAACTATGGGAAAATATTTTCAGTTGATGCACATGGTATGTCTCATACTTTATATTGCTGTAGAAATTGAAGAGAAACTAAATAAAATAGGAGATATACCATGTGCATTAATTTTTAAACATTTTAAAAAAAGTATTGAAAAAACATTTAATAACATCATTATTAAGATGATAATCCTCTCCAAATTTATAGATTCAATGCAGTACCAATCAAAATTCAATTAGTCTTTATTTAGAAATTGATAAGATATCCTAGTACTTTGAGAGAAAAGACATGGAATATTAGAAATAATTTAAAAAAAAACGAAAACAAAAAACAAAGCTGAAGTCAACATAGTAGTATTGGCATAAGGATAGACATATAGATCAGTGGAACAGAAGAGAGAATTCAGAAATAGATTGTCATATTATTATAGTCAGTTGATTTTACATGCAAGCATCATTATAATCCAAGGAGAAAGGAAGGTCTTTTCAAGAAATGGTTCTGGAAGAATTAGCTATCTGTAAGAGGGAGGAAATAACTTTTGACCTCTATTTCCCAGCATAAAGACTAATATAATGTACCTCTTGAGTCACTGCTGCTGCTAAATTGCCCCCAGAACTGTCTCCGGAAATACAGATTCGCATGGGATCCACTCCATATTTCGTAAGAATTTTATCCTGAAGAAAGAACTTGACTGCAGCGATGCTGTCTTCAAACTGAGCAGGAAAACGGTGTTGGGGAGCTAGCCTATAGCTTTGGGGGGAAAATATATTTAAACAGTTTTAATAAATTCCATTATGGTTGTATCTGTCTAGGTAGCTTCCAAGTATCAAATAGATGTAATTAAACAGGTTTTATTGTTTTATCTTCCGAAAATCAAACCCGAGTTTTCTGCTAAGTCATTATGATGTGAAAAACTAAAAATAGATATTAAGCTTTTCATATCATATCTAAGGTCCATGGATGGCATTGCATGTGCAAAGTAAGGGGAATGCTATGAACTCCCCGATATTATAACCATAACTTTTAGTCCAAGTACATTTTGGATTGAAGATGCTATATAGCTTACATCATATTCTCAGTGTATCTGGTGATCAAAAATATTTTTTAAAATTATTGAAAAAGCACCATTGACAATAACAATGGCAATCATGTTTTAGTTAAGGAAATTTTAATTTGGTTTTTCCTCTAAATTTTCATAGCTTCAAGCAAGCAAATAAGCAAACAAACAAACAAACAAAAACTATGTCACAATATCCTGAAAGAACTATTGGATTAGAACTTTCTATATTTTTATTACTGGGAAAGAATCATCAGAAAAAAATTGGCTTTAGAATTCCAGACTATCCCAGTGTAAGAAAATATTGAACTGACCTAAGATATGATTATATGTTCTTGCAAAATCCAGAATGTAAGATTACTTTTCTGGAGAGTGGTTTAAAATTATCAGCTGATTTCAACCTTTACTTTCCATAATACTTTAAAAACTTGTTCTGAAGTAAAACATATCAACTCAGATACACTGAACATTCCCAATGTGTAATTGTTTATTTTTTTCTCTCTAGCCAAATTTCTTGGGGCATAAGTAGGGCCTTTACAATCTGAGTTTAAGAATCTAGAGCAATAATGTTTTAAAAAATACACAGAAATTCTCATATCACAGAAGAATAATGAGATACTGAACATATTTGAAGTCTTCTCTATGTTGTAATGGTTACAAATAAAATATATAAATTCTTAAATATTATTTTTTAAGGCATAGCTGATTTGATTAGGAAATGAAACCTCTACTTTGTGAAAGCAAAAATCATAGTAGCCAAAGAAAAGTATTCTCTTACTCCACTCCTACAACAACAGCATCAAGTTTGTTTGCAGTCCATCTGTTGAGGATGTCAAATGCCCTCTGCTCTGAAATGAAGAAATAAATGTCAGTTCTCCTTGTAATAATAATAATAATAAAACAGCAACAGAAAATTATATCTATGAACTTGAACAGAAATGTGATTTGAGTATTACAAGGAACTATGTTCCCTACCACTTTTTATATGCAGAGTCACCTGAATCAGCATGACACAGTCTACAGGAGGGTTTCTTCAATTGCTGTCCTCAGGGGTAAAAAATTACATGGCTCATTGGCACTCTGGGCAATTGAAACTAGGCTCAGCCCCTTCTAATTTTTGCTGGTCATCTGTTGTCTACACACAGTAATACTCCCAAGAACCCTTTGTGTTCTTGTGCTCTGCTTCTCTAGGCAACTAGCCACTACAGATGAGTCTCTGAGTCAACGACACCTGGATACACATTCTTCAACCTTCACCAGAAACAGTGGTTCTGTTTTGATTTTATTTACCTGAACTTTGTGTACAACCTTTCAATTGGCTTAGAACTAAGTGAAATAAAAAAGCAATAGATGAGTTGACTGTCTAATACTACAACACTCCATAACATGGTTCTTTAAAAACTTCATTTTCTCCCAATATACCACATTGTGAATTGGCCCATAACTTTGGCATGTTTAGACAAAGTTTAAAAAAGCAGCTAGATTTTTGAGAGAGTCTCTGACAAGTCGGTATAGGTTTGATGTACATGTGCACTGTGGCATACTTGGCATACAAGTCATCACCTCTCCTCCAACACACACATACACACACCTATCTCTATGTACCCACAAATCCAATTTACTGGGTCAGTGCCCTTGTCACAGAACTTTGGCAAGTCTACTAATACTTTGACATCTACTAATACTTTGTTTATCACAAGATTCTAGAAATTTAGAGAATTCTTGAGTTGTCATCAAATTCTAGGCTTTTCTAAGTTGTCTGCTGCATATTAGCAAAACTTCAAATTAAATAATGGGTATATAATAACCTTAGTATCAGAAAAACAAATTGACTAGTCATTTATGTAGAAAAATGTTTTCATTAAAGATGGAATTAATAACGTGAAAAAAGACAATGTATAGATGAAGATTAAAATATATATAACAATCCATTGGCCCTCACATTTAAAGTCCCTTAATGATATATTTCAAACATGTTTTTACTTTTATCTTCCATTTATTTTTTTACTTATTTTTTAATAAAAATTTAAAATTTGACCTCAGAGAGGAAGATGGAGAGAGACACAGAAATATCAATGACAAGAGAGAATCATTGATCTATCACCTCCTCCATGTCCCACACTGGGACTGAGCCCACAACCCAGGCATGTGCCACTGACCAGAATCAAACTGAGACCTTCTGGCCCACAGGTTGACACTCAACCAACGAGACACACTGGCTGGGCTGTTTTTCTTATTCTTTATAATAAAGAGGTAATATACAACTTGACTATCACAACCTCATACAATATGGCCACCTCCATGTGGTCACAAGATGGCTGCTACAAGATGGCCAGCAGAAGAGAGAAGTTAGGGGCAACCAGGTCAACAGGGGAGGGCTGTTGGGGAGACCAGGCCTTCAGGGGAACAATTAGGCGTTGATCAGGCTGGCAGGGGAGTAGTTAGGGGGTGATCCGGCTGGTAGGCAGAAGTGGTTAAGGGCAATCAGAAAGGCAGGCCAGTGAGCGGTTGGGAGCCAGCAGTCCCATATTGTGAGAGGGATGTCTGCTGGTTTAGGGCTGATCACCAGTGTTCATATTAATATCATTGTAATATTAATATGAACATTTGGATATTTCATAGACCTTATAAAAACTAAAGTGTTGTTAATTATTGAAATGAAGCCAACTTGGTCTTTAATTTATCTTAAAAGGAATCGGAATATTCTGACCATCTTAATGCCTAATATAAATTGAATTATAGATGAAATCTAATTTACTAAAAACATTAGGGAAATGAAAAAAGACATAAAAATAAGTACTAGGAACATTTTCTTTGATAATCACTCTAAAGATCTATAACAGAATTTCCTTTAATTATTCTCCCTCCTCCCCCCAAAAAAGGACATTTGTTGAACATTTACTGTATGAAAGTGCTTTGCTAGATGCTAGGAAGTCATGCCACTTACAAGGAGATGCTAAAACAAACATGTAACACAGTTGTGAAACAAAGCAAGAATTGGTGGCATCAAGCTTATACAAGCTGTAAAGGACACACAGGAATGTTGCTAAAATCTTATAGAACCAGGGAAGCCTACACACACATACATTTGAGCATCCCCCCACCTCAGCATGTGTACATACATGCACATGTGCACACACAGCTGAATTGATACTTTACCTAAATATAAAAGGATGAGAAGTAAGATTGGAAAGACATGCTAGGAAAGCATAGTCACAGAGAGAAATGAGCATGCATGGAGTATTTGGTTGAAATAAAATTATGGAAAAAAGCATTGCATTGGCAGGGACAAAAAAGTTAAAGAATGTTAAGAACCTGGAAATCTGAACATTGTGCTAAGGGATTTTGATTTATTTCATTAAATGATGGGAGTTTCTAAATAATTTAGACAAAGAAAGCATGTAACCAGATTTTCATCTTAGAGAGCTCTAAATATATAAGATGAAATAAAGTTCAGTAGGATAAAGGCAAGGGCATCAGAAAGGAATATCTCAGATCATGAAGTACTAAATTGTATCAATGAGGTCAAAATAAATGAAAGGGGAATGAATGAGATGTAAATTTAATGTCAGCTCCAGGAACAGCAAAGAATTGGTGATAATTGCTGTTTACTGAGAGCATTCAAGAGGATGAGAGATTGATTTATATAAAACTGTTTGGACATAAGACAATGGACTGTGCTCAGTCATACTGAACTTGAGATGTCTGGTTTGTCCAGTTGTAAATATCTAATTGTAGTTTTAGTGAGGATCCAGAATCCAAGATATTGTCAGAGTAGGAGATTCAGAACTTGTTGTCAATAGCATATTGGGTATTTGGAGAAAATAAAGGATTGGAAAAGAGAATGTGTAGAGTTGAAGCTGGGAGGTAGGGATTGAAAATATACAAAGTAAATATAGAGATTGTGAATTTGTTCGTTTTGTTTTGAAATGAGACATGGAAAAGAGAAAGATTGGGAAAAAATAAGTGATAGAAACATTAGGTAATTTTTTTTTTCCATAGAAAAACCTAAGACAGTGGTACTCCAATATTAGTGCCTCAGAATAAGCTAGAAGACTTGTTAGGATTATGATTCCCACCTCCCGAAAAAAAATGTTAGTTATCAAAAAGGTAGGGAGGAGAAACCAGAAATGCAAAATTACAGTCTAACCATCTTATTGTTTTGCATATTAATAAAAGCCTTTGTGCTTCATTAATTTTCCATGCTTATTTTCTCTTTGACTAATATTCATTACTCAAATTCGGTCAAGTGTCACTTGCTATTTTGCAATATACCTTTGTAAGATTCTCAAATTACTTAGAATTAAATGAGGCTTAGAGAAAGACAGGTGAAAACTTACATTTATAAATTATTTACTTTTCTTCAATTCTATTATTTTGTTAAACTTCAGTATTCTAATTAAGTAGAACACTGCTCACCCCCACCCCCAACTACTAGCACCATTTTAAGATGGAGTTTTCCAAAAAGTGAATTTGCTCATGTATTTTTTTTTTTGAATCTGCAATATTTTCCTCTTGGAATAATTACCAGACATAAGTAGGAACATTAGACTTCATAATTCAATTTTGTGTTTTCCTTTTATAATCAAGGCTAACAACTAGTCTAGGCTTTTCCACTGTTAGCATTACGGCTATCAGTAATCATAAATATATTTTTTGTAGCCACCTACAGCGTATGCTTCTGATTTACTGCTTAATGTATCTGCACCACCTCAAAGTTTCTGTTCTTGAATATTTTCTTTATTTTTTAAATTTATTTTTAAAATATGTTTTATTGGTTTTTTACAGAGAGGAGGAGAGAGGGATAGAGAGCTAGAAACATCGACCAGCTGCCTTTTGCACACTCCCTACCGGGAATGTGCCCCCAACCAATGAACATGCCCTTGACCGGAATCGAACCTGGGATCTTTCAGTCTGCAGACCGACGCTCTACCACTGAGCCAAACCGGTTTCGGCTTGAATATATTCTTATCCCAAAGAAAAATGTTTACTAATTGACGTTCATGTCTAACATTCTATATAAGCTTACTCAATGAAAAAAAAAAAGAGAAGAAAATGTTTACCAAAAAAACAAAACAAAACAAAAAATAGAAATTGCAATCTCCATGATATATTTTGCTAGATAAATCTATGTATGTATATTTCTCTATTAGATACCTATTACTTATAGCTATACTTATGCACAGTATATATATATGCACAGTATATATTTGTTTATTTATATGTTTATTTATATATATATATGTTTATTTATATCAAATTGTACTTATATAAAAAACATATAACCTATTATAATATTGACTTATATATTGAACTTACTGAAACTTCCCAAACAATAAGCTCCACCATGAAAATAGATTACAGCTCGTCTTGGGGTTTCTGACTTTCTCTTTGGCAAGTACAAACGCACTGGAATGTCAGTGAATGCTGTATCAGTCACTGTGACGTATTCATCTGAAAGTGGTTGGGTATAATCCAGCCTGAATATCATGGAAATAAAGTCTTCAAATGACATAATACCTAGATTTTCAAAACACATACCCTGAAGGAGCAGAACAAAAGTAAATGTTTTCATCTTTAAATTACATCAAACGTATACAGAGGGGAAAGTGAAAAACATAAGCAAAATATATAAACAGAAATAGAATGTTTATAAAAATTGTTTCCAAATAATATTGTATAGCTCTTATTGCATAAATTTATTGCTGTTGAAATCTCAAGTATTATGTCTTTAGACTAATAACTATCTCTCTCTCAAAAGCTTCAATTTACTGACAGTTTCTTTTATGCCTATCACCATTATTTTTTAATTGTAAAGTATTACCTGAAAAATCTCTAGGTCTTATAACATCCTTCCTTCCTTTCTTTTTGGCACTCTGTCATATTTTTCTCTTTGTTATTTTTAATTGTATTTAATCTAAAATGTTAACTGTCATCTAAATGATTCAAATGTCCTGGTTTTTAATTCCAAATAGATTTCTGTTCATAGCCTTTTCATCATTCTCTACCTGCCAAATGTTTATAGCCCTTTCACAATTCCCTCTCCCCCCTACACCAAGCCTGTCCCCCATATATGATATCATGGAAAAAAATCTCTCCTTGGTATTTCTGAACAGCTTCTCCAGGACCTGGGTGACATGTCACTGGACAGTTTATTCAAAATAAAAACTTTTAAAAAATACATGGTTAATAGTACATTAAACAGCCTTTATTACTATAATTATTCCAAAGAATTTAAGGTATTACAGCAGTTTAGAGAACATTGAATCCCCACACTTTAATGTTAAGAAAACATGTAAAAACCAGAAATTATAGCCATTAAATCTCAAAGCCAAGTCTACAACCATTTTTCTAGACTAGTTTCTTATATCCCTGTATACTCCATCTGACCTTAAGCAAATTACTCTCTGTACTTCAGTTTTCTTACCTATATAATTAAAAGCATAAAATTAATAATTATATAGAATTTCTCACTGCATTTTAGTAGGGTTTACATGAATTAGGACTCTGAATGCACTATAGAAGAGTGCCTAGACCATGTAAGTACTCAGACAATCTTGTCTTATTGTTAGTTAAGCATTTCTCACTAACATGAGCTTTTTAGTGTTTTAATCCTAAATGCATGCTTTCACATAGAATGTTCCTTAAAGCATGTTTTTGATAAATGGTTAAATTGTGCTAATTTAATTTTTCATTTGGTGAAGTGGCTTTTAAAAATTAGATTTTTTTTTTGGCAAATTACCTGTTTTCATTTCTTAGATATCTCCTGGTTTTGAATAGATACTTAAGTATTTTTGGAACAATATCAAAAGCTACCATTTTAGAGATTATTTTGTGTTTGCCTAGAATACAAGATCTCTAATTATCAGAGCAATGCTGCAAAATATTTATCATTATTATCTTCTTTTTAAAGGTAAAAAAAAAAAATTGCATGAAAACCTAAGGACATTTCTCAGGATTGGGCATGCTTCTTTCCCAAACTGTCTTTCAATTTGACATGTGATAACATAGTAATTGTGTTTATTTTTCAAAGCCACTTTGCCAAGAATTTTAATTTTCACTTTCCTTTTATATGTTAAAAAATAATTTTTCTTACTGGTATCACAACTTTGAGTTGCAAATTCAGTACAGACAACAATAAAATTGTTTTCCCTATAACAGCGAACGACTGTTGATTTTACTAGAATAATCTTTAAAGTAACTATATATGTGCTTTTTGCAATATATTTTTTTAATAAAGGACAACCCATTGTGACATCAAATACATGAAGTGCATTATTTTACTATAGGTACGTAAGAATAATTTGTAGTTACGAAAGTAGAAGTAGAACTTTAAAGTTGGCTGTTCTGCCAATGTACTTTTGATAATATCAGTATCAGTCACTCTGAGTTTGAAATACCTATGAAAGAGTCAAGTAAGATAACAGCAGTTTCTCCATGGAGCTGGCATTTGTCAACCCACATATCCTTGAGTTTGTGTAAAATGAAGTGAGAACATTAGGAAAAGACAGTAGGGTGAAAGTGAGCCCCTAGGAGTGGTTTGAGAGCAAAGTATCAGGACTTAGCAGACACAGACAGGAAGTGGCTGTGGTTTCAGAGAACTGTCATCCACTGTACAAAGCTCCATGGGACAGCTTCTTCCTCTTAGACCAGGGGTTGCTCACTTCTCTAATCATCTACTGCTGCCACTGCCTTCTCACATTATTATCTCACATTGTTACTCCCATCAGAGAACCTTTCCGGGAGCCACCTGGTTTTGCGGAAAGAGTTTGAGTTTTGAAATGAGGCAGTCCTGAGTTCAGATTCTGGAGTTGTCAATTTCTAGCTGCACAAACTCTTCTAAACCTTTTTTTTCCTCCTCTTTAAACCGCTAAAAATAACTGAAGAATAGTGGAGATGAGAAGAGGTATATATTACAGAATGCTTATGCATTATAAAAACTCAGAAATTTTAGTTTATAGCCATGTCTTCCCCTTACCAGGGAGCTCTTTTTTGCTTGAACTCATAATCTACCCTGCATATTCCAAGTCAAACAATCTCTGAAACCCAGCAATGTAGACTTGGGATGGACAGCAGAAGCCACTGAAATAGTAAGAGCTCTAGATTAACATCAAATAGGTACAAACATCAATGCTTAGCTCTGACCTATGGGACTAGATTGTCCCTGGAAACTCAAATATAAGTCAAGTTGTCAAATAAATGTCCAAGTTTTCCCTTAAAAAATACCATCTATTTTATGCATATCACAACAGATAGAGTCTACATTTAGACATAAACTCTTTGGAAACAAGAATCCTATCTCGTTTTGTTTTGCACTGATATACCAAGTTTTACTTAATTTCATGTAGTTCATTTATTTTAGTGAACAAACAATGGTTATGTACAAACAATAATTAATAGAAAAGTCACAAGTTAACAAGGCACCCCAATATCCACAGGAAAAATTATCATCTTACCATAAATGTACAAGTTTTAACAGCTGCATCTAAGGCTATTACTTTCCAGCGTTCTTCAATGTTGCCTGGTATAGGTGTGTAAATATGAGAAGCAAAAAGAACACAAAGCAGCGCCAAACAGATAGCTTTGGACCTCATCATAATCCTCTTTCCAGCCTCTTCACACTGCCAAGATTAAAACAGTTCTTTTAATATTAAATGATAAGTAGCAGAACAATGTAGCTTGGAAACCATCTCAGGGAAAATGATAAATCTTAACAACACGAAGTTCATCTTCAAGTCTAACATTACAACATCAATAGAAACTTGTATTGCACTGACTCAGAGACAGATGTAATTTGTCAGTTGATGCTTATATCATTAGCATGCAATTAAAACCTCCCACAGTGTTTCCTCACCCTGGAAAACCATCATCAGCTCAAAACAAGTATATTATTGAGACCTAAATCAGAGTTTTAGTTAGAACTCTGAATACATCATGAAGTAACATTTTGTGATAGGTTGGTCACAATGCTTTGGAAAAAGAGGTCTAAAAATAATTAGCTGATACTTAGTCAAAATCCAGGCTAATGTAGCCTGGATACTAACCATGTTAATAAACACTGCTTATGGCGGTGGTCAAGCTTTGGGTCAATGAATAGGGGATATGAGGTCTTGTCCAATTTCCATAATCCATGAAGCTGAAACTTTTCAATAAACCAAAGTAGCACAAGGCTCGCTACAAGTATCTCAGAAAACATTCTCAATTTTTCCCCCAAAGAATCACATAGATTTTGTTTATATGGTTAAGTGTAAAAACTTTAAAATTAATTTACATCAGGAATTTAGCCCAGTGTGGAAGGAAATATCAAGTACAAATATTGGACTCATACCTACTGCAACTTAAAAACCTAACAGAAACCTGTCCAAAATCTGGTCACCTGGAAGTCTTTAGAGATGCAAGGACTACAGATTTCCTGTGTAATATGTCAGGATCTAGAAAATAAATGAGTAGTCATAACTCAATAAATCCACAATTTTCAAGCTCATTGACCAGGAATCAATACTAGAAGAAGTAGTTTTTAGTGATAGATTTCAGTTCAATCAGGGCTCCAATTGAAGTATATATTAGACTTCTTGAGAGCATAAGTACTAATCTCAAAGCCTATCATACACGTAATTATTAAAATGGTTACTTTTATTTATCTATGTTATAATCTTCTCTGAATCCCATAAACAAAACTTAGCATTAAAATTTATCATTCAAACAAGAACACTATTAAGAGTGAGAGAGACAATATTAACAATAATGCACATAAACTGGACAAATTGGGACTCACGGTCTTATCCTAATCATAGCTCTTTTATCAAATTTAATTTAATTAATATGCCTGCCTTTTCAAGTAGGCAGCAAGGTTATTGAAAAAGGATACAATATATATTTACTGATAAGTTTGATATTAATCTGAACCAATAGAAAGTAAAATCTGTCTACTATTTCCAGGTCCCTGGATAGCATAAGGTGCCTAACTTGCCACCCAACAGACAAGAACAACACTGTACTCCCTGCCTCTCTCTATAGTTTACTGATTTTATTGCAGATTGTTACAGGAGGTTATTATGACCATCTAGTGAAGCATAAGTAGAGAATACTTACAAACAAAGGATCAGCTAAGGTATACACAATGTCTGGGCAAATATTCTTGATCTATCAGCTTTCATTGCTTGTGTGCTTAATTGATTGATTAATTAGCTTTCTGAATGAAATACATTATTTTATAACAATAAATATGTAAACATTTTGCTTATTTTGTTTGACATCCTCAGCCAGGTATTCTCTGTAACCCAATGTAGTATCTAAATTCACAGTGTACATTCAAATTTAATAATTGGCAGCCTGCTGACACCGGTTTGGCTCAGTGGATAGAGCGTGGGCCTGTGGACTGAAAGGTCTCAGGTTCAATTCAGGTCAAGGGCATGTACCTTGGTTGTGGGCACATCCCCAATAGGGGGTGTGCAAGAGGCAGCTGATCGATGATTCTCTCTCATCAATGTTTCTACCTCTCTATCTCTCTCTCTTCCTCTCTGTAAAAAAATCAATTATATATATATATATATATGTATGTATATATATATGTGTGTGTATATATATGTATACACACACATATATATATATCATATATATATATATATATATATATATATATATATATATATATATATAATTGGCAGCTTGCTCAAATACAACAGCCTTGCAACTCACATGCTCAAGCTATCCAAGAGTTTAGTTCTATGTATTTTTTTAACTTTTAAAATTAAGTACTATTATTAATAGCTTATATAGACAGGTTGTTTTATATGTAGACACATCAATCATTATATTTGTTCAATATTTCTTATGTACATTGGCAGATACCTTTCTTGTATATAATCACTGAGGGACCCACTTCTTTCTTTAATTGTCTCAATAATTTTCTTTTTATAGTCTTAATCCAACTAGCAGAAGGGAAAAGAGACTGTTGTGGAGGCACAGTAGCTTCTTACTACTTTTAGCCCAGAATGATACACATCAGTCACTTCCACCTACTTTTTATTGGCCAATTTTTATTGGCCAAAAATCACAGTGCTCTCTTTCTAAGAAAAGAATGGGCACATGTCTAAGCAAGAGAATCTGGACCTACTTTCTGAGAACTTTGACTTTTGAATAGAGAGACTCAAGGCCAGAAGCATGTTTAAAGCTCTTTATCGTTTGTAGTTATCCTTGACAGGATAATTGAATGTGCCTTCCACCTGGACTCCAGAGAAATTTTTGTTTAAAGCCTTTCCTGAGCCTTGAAACTCCAGATTTCCTGCCAATTTCATAAGCTTCCCAATATTATTAAAATTAATGTTACACTTGGACCAGCTAGATTAAGTTGGACCAGCTAGATTCTGTTGCTGGCAATAAGATAACCTTAACTATACAGGAGGTTATAAAATAACTTCTGACATCTTGAGGGTATTCTGAATCTGGAGGAGCAGAAGGGAGGGCACCTTCTAATAAGAAAGTTATAAAAGGAAAGGATAACTAATATTTGTTTGGCTAAGGGCAAAAGTGTTCCTTCATACTTTTAAGTATTATCAATTTCCTTGATCCATGTGTTTTAGAAAATCTACATTACTGAGGGAGTGGTTTTCCATTCTGATAACTTCAGAGGTCTTTTAAATTATATATCTAACATGTGTATGCTCCACATGGGGATCTAGCCCACAATCTGGCCTGGAATCAATCAGTGATTTTCTAGTTCATGGATCAATATTCAACCACTGAGCCATGCCAGCCAGGCAAAAACTAATTTATTTTAAAAGTACATAGTTTATCTTATTTCATTTGGTATTTTTACTAATCAATATCTATGTGAATATGTCAGCAGCATTTCCAATAAAGAATTTTTTTTCAAACAGAATGGATAAAGAGATTAATTTGATAATATTTATTCTTTTAGATGTTATATTTATGTTGGTAATAATTGGATACTTTAAAAATATTTTTTTTAAAAATCTGGGTATAAGAGAACCCCTGGAGATCAAACTTGTATTATTTCAGGGTCAACTGTAATTGTCTTTAAAACAGGTAAAACTTAGTAAGCTTTATTACTACTAATTCATATTTATGGTATAATTGATTTGTAAACATGCCAAATTTAAGTCAGTAAAATTTTTATTTTAATTACTCATAGTATTTGAACATTATTTATAATGAAGTAAAAAATTACATATGTCCTTATGTTTGAATATTTTATTATTAAGATTATTAGAACTTATAGAAATAAATTTGACATTAGAAAAAATAATGTATACTTAAAGAAAAATTATGGATTTATATATTCTTTCTGAAAAAATAAATCTTTATTATTCAAATTATTGCAGTTGTTCTCTTTTTTCCACTTATAGCTTCCCTCACCCAATTCCCACCCCACCCACACCCACACCCCTGTCCTTACCATCCCCCCACTGTCCTCCTCCATAGTGGTATGATTTTTGTCTAGGCTTTTCCTGCTCCCGCTACACCCCTCATGTCTGTGTCCATTGGTTAGGCTTATGTGCATGCATACAAGTCCTTTGGTTGAACTCTTCCCCTTTACTCCCACCCTCTCTTACCTCCCCTCTGAGGTTTAATGGTCTGATCGATGCTTCTCTGTCTCTGGATCTATTTTTGTTCATAAGTTCATGTTGTTCATTATATTCCACAAATGAATAAGATCATGTGATATTTATCTTTATCTAATTGGCTTATTTTGCTTAGCATAGTGCTCTCCAGTTCCATTCATGCTGTTGAAAATGGTAAGAATTCCTTCTTTCTTACAGCAGTGTAGTATTCCATTGTGTAGATGTAACACAGTTTTCTAATCCACTCATTTGCTGATGGGAATTTAGGTTGTTTCCAAATCCTAGCTATTGTAAATTGTGCTGCTATGAACATAGAGGTGCATATATCCTTAATGATTGGTGTTTCTGGTTTCTTGGGATATATTCCTAGGAGTGGGATTACTGGGTCAAATGGGAGCTCCATTTTTATTTTTTTGAGGGAACTCCATACTATTCTCCACAGTGGCTGCACCAGTCTGCATTCCCACCAGCAGTGCATGATTGTTTCCTTTTCTCTGCATCCTCACCAGCACTTGTCACTTGTTGATGATGGCCATTCTGACAGGGGTGAGATAGTATTGCATTGTCTGTTCTGAATATTTGTTGTTGAGTTTGTTTTGTGTTGGTGGCAGAATCAACAGAGAACTATATTGGGGCAAAGGTTTGCTATTTCCCAGGATATTGTACAAAAATATGTCCAAAATAAAAAAAATAAAGTTATATAAGGTTGAACTTATTTTTGTGCTAATATTTCTAAATAAATATTTAAAAAATTAACATAAATATTAACCATATCTCAAAGTTAACTTATAAAGGCTTAAGAGTTTCTGAATATCATGAATGTGTTTTCTAACCATGCATAATAAATTGTAATGCAAGCAGAAAGAAAAATACAGCCTGGGTAAATCTAAAGTGTTAGCATTTCTTATTCTATCTAAATTGTATATCTGAAAGGATAGATGTGTGGGATACCAGAGAGTAGAACATGGACTGTTTAGCACATAATTATTTTTGGAAAGTTTCTGTGATAG